TTTGTCAGATAAGAGGCCTCCATGGGTTGTTGAGCACCCCCTTCTGCTGTCCACCATCGCTATTCTAATCATTTCCTTTGGCCCAAATCGCATTTCCCCACCCATAAGTCCCCATCGACTCGAACAACCACCGGAACTGATCGAACTTCTCCAGCAGCTCGTCCTCCGCCGGTCCCCAACGGCTCGTCCAAGTCGATCGTCTTGAACGACTCGTCGCAGCCGGGGCAAATGCCGCCATCGTTAGTGGCCACCTCATTGCCGAGCTTGTCGGTTATGATCTCGGCATCGCAACCTAGGGTGCCTCGAGTGAGGCCGTCGGTCCATGCAGGAGTCGATCACCTTGTCGATGAGGTGGGCGCCGGTGTCACTAGCGAAGTCGCCGGTGAAGAGGGAGTTGTTGACATACTTCGCCTCCACCTTGCGGAGATGGAAGGGTCCACCCGTTGGTTGTCGGGGGCGTCGAGGAAACGGACATGTCTGTTCACTCTCGGCGTCTTCGGAGTGGCTCAAGAAGCTACCATTCAATTCGACAACTGCCCCTTTGCTTAAATGGATGAAATTATTAGTTTACCCTTCACTTTGATGCTATACTGCGTTGTTAAAGTTAAAAGTAAATTATAATAATTTCAAAATCATAGAGACTCCATTGTAATTTTCAAAAAGTTCAAAAATGTAATACTAAATGCGAAAGAATATGATTAACTCGTCCCATTTAAGAAAAAAAATTGGAACAAAATAATTTTTCAATAAAAAACTTTTTCTAATAAAAAAATTTATGAGGGACTTTTATGAGTAAATTACCCAAAATCATTTGGTAAGATGTATCAATGTTATATATATATATATATATATATATATATATATATATATATATATATATATATATATATATTAAAAAAAATTATTTTTGAAAATTCTATAATAACACATTTGACGATGTAAAAAGATCCTATTTACTCTATTTTTTTTTATAGACCTGTTGTCTTGATCTAAATCACTATACACTTACGACCTTTGCATAAGATGATGACGATAAAGGTGTGCCCCCTCGCCTCTATCATCTCATCTCATGTGATCAACAATGAGAGTGTGTGGATCGACCCTTCTATAACAATAAAAGGTCCTCTCATCTTATTCTTTTTACAATTGATGATGAGCAATGCACGATGAAGAATTATAGTTGAGAGGGTTAAATTGATCAATCTTGTGAGAAAAAGAGTGTCATTTCATAACTTTTTTTAAAAATAGGAATGCTGTGTTAGAAACATTAAAAAAAAAAAACAATTATTTTCGAGAATTCGCCGTGTATAATTTTACCGTATGTAATACCGCGGTTAACCTAAACACAGGTGAAGGAATAAGAAATGACGCACATTTCGAAAACATCACCGAGAGCGAACTCGAATCCCGTAACCCTTTTGATTCGGCCTTCGGGTGGGCGGCCAAACGAAGAGGGGGGAGAGGATGGGCGGCGGAGGAGAAGAGCGGTGGTGCGTGGTCACCGGCGGCCGTGGCTTCGCCGCCCGGCACCTGGTCGAGATGCTGCTTCGCTCCGACATCTGGTGCGTCCGGGTCGCCGACCTCGCTCCCTCCATCTCGCTTGACCCCCGGGAGGAGGACGGCGCCCTTGGCCACGCCCTCCGATCAGGCCGCGCCGCCTACGTCTCCGCCGATCTACGCAATAGGGCCCATGTCGTCAAAGGTACGCGGCACCGTCGCCCCAATCCGCGGTAATGGGGTGCATCTGCCGCCTCCCCATCTTTCCTCTGGGATGCTTGGTTTTCTTCCAGCCGCTGCCGGCTTTTTGGGAGGGCTTGTAGCTAAATAATCTGTTAGAGTAAATGCTTTTTGTTGAAATGTCCGTTTTGGTCAAACGCGGAGCTGTGATTTTAAGGAAAAAGCCGTCGGCTCATTAGAAGAAAGATACCATTTTTCTATTGTTGTTATAAAAAATAATATACGTTCTATAAGAGATTTTGTTGATAGATCTTG